AAGAAGTGAACGTAGTGGCGCATTTATAATGAAATTTCACATTAAACTTCACGATAGAGATAAGATTGAAGATTTAGCAAACTTCGATAGAAAATTGTTCTACGTATTACCAATTATATTTGTCGAGATTTTACACCTTCAAACGTCGTGTTACACGAATCCACGATTAATTTTGCGATTTAACGATTGATCAGTAGAGAAGAAGTCAGAAAGCGAGGGATTTTAACAAGCGTGTATATATATAAGTGATGGTGCAGCCTGAACGTGTCGAACGTTTCCGAGATTATCGAACGCAGCGGGCCACGACTCTACGAATCGTAATTATACTCAAAGGTGAACTGGCTAAAAAAGTGTCACGGTCACCGGCAGAATCAACATGAAGCCACACGGTTAGGGTTCAATACACGGACAGAAATACACGGCCATCGACGGCGGATGTCGAGGGGAAAATTTCCTCGTTGTTTCTTATTCTTAAGATCTCTGCCAACGTCCGGTCTTATTCACAAGACAAACGTCAACGCGTTGCAAAGATCGATTGGTTCGCGAGCGTCCCGATCGATCGTACGTGACGATATTCCAAACTGAATCCTCGCGTTTAACCTTCGTCCCGAGCGAAGCGGAAATGCGTCACATTTCGCAATTTTGCTCGGGCAAATCGTTACATTGTTTTCGTCGCTCGAAACGACGTCCGAACGAGAATTGCATTTCAAGCGCAAGCTCAAAAAAAAAAAAAAAAAAAAACGCGAGATTTTCGAGTGATTAATTAAGTATATCGGAATAGTTACACGTTTCACAGGAAAGCAAGATGCTGAGCGGATAAGGAGATGGAAATGCGAAATGCTCGTAAGTATGCAATCATCGTATCACCGAGTGCATTGTTCCGAGACGATTGTATTCTTGCCGGCAGGATATGTTGGATTAAAAATTCAGGAATGCAAACAACTTCGGACCTGATTTTTCTTGGAACGATGCGAGATTCCTTGCGTTAATTCGCGAATCAGTTTCCCTAGAAGCTGTATACTACGGAAGTATTATTAGTTCGTTTATTATCAATTGGAATGGAAGTCTATGTTCCTTTCCAGGTTATTTTTAAAACAATCATTCAGATTTCGTGATTGGAAATAGAACGTTTATGAAATTCTAAAAATACCCTGACTGATTATTATTGGAGCTTATAGATGCTCAACGATAATACTTATTATATATTATAAGTATCATTGTGATATTAGATATTTTTTTTTAGTAAGTTGATATAGTGATTTTATAATTGTAATATAAATAGTTAGATCGTCGATCAATGAACTAAAGAAAATTTTCGTATAAAAATATATATATATAATACTGTATGGTTTTCGACCAAACTATCTTTTTCAAGCAATTTAAAACGAGTTTATCGACACGTTGACGACAGCAATTAAACAACAATTAACGCTTGGTATCGGAATTGAATTAAATACAGTCAAGTTGATTGCCAATTGCTAGACGGATGTTTCATGCAAGATATATGATGTAGAATCAGAAATGATTTACTTTTAAAGTCTCGTCACGGCCGACACGACCGCGAATTTTATCGATATTTCGTCGACGTCGGAGCAAATATTATCGTCGAAGGATCTTCGGAAATCGCGTCACGTAAACGCCGTTGCCTCCATAAAAGAGATCAGCCGGAAGCTCTCTTTTTTTTTCATAGACTTCCTTTCCGCGATCCTCTGGCAAAATGTATCATTACGACGAATTAAAATTACCACGTGGAATTTCTTTACTTCGTGCCAGCACGACCATTTCCCGGCAGTTCGATATTCGTGCAAACTTTGTAATTTCAAATTCACACTTTCGCTTCCAAAGAAAAGTGTCTTTTACATCGCTGGATCGAAAGTTAAATTTACTGGGAAACTGAACGATCTCTCTTTCGCCGATCGTTGGTCAATCACAGTGAAAAAGAAAAAAAGGTAACGATTGAAAAATACTTTTTTAACAAACTCTGGATGGAAGTGTCGGAAGACGGTCGTTTATTCAAACGATAATTCGCTCCTTTCGAAAGCGGAAGGAGCGAATGTGATGCATTCTCTGAATTCTAATTAGCTGGCGAAAAAGATAGCTAGCAGGCGTCGTTTAATTGCCGGGGGTCGTTTAATTCCGAGAAGGAATTAATTCAATCAATTACTGCGACGATCGATCACTTACCATTTGTGGCATCCAGCAGACAACAAACGATATTGATAGTACGGCCATCAATCTCGCGAATGCCCTCTCCTCCACGGTGGTGACGATTTCTGGCGTTGGCCCTGTCACTGTCAATAGCGGTTTCGCTCTTGACGATGATCTCGTTACTCGCCGGAGTACCCCGGCTCTGCAATTCAGTTTGCTGAGCGCCCTGGAAACCGCCAGGTTGCACCAAACGATCGACAGACAGAGGCCCGTGCCTGTTCACGAAGATTCGACACTCGATTAAGATGGATGTGCGCTTGATGCTTGATACAATGAATAAATTAAATTAAACAAGTCCCAAGAAACTTTGGAACAGTCTTTCCTATACTTCTAGATCATTGGGATCCTCTGAACGTCGAAGTGTCACGATTTGTATTTTCTATTCTACGTGAGAGACGAAGATCATTCACGTGACATATACAGAATAAGAAATTGAAAAAAAAATTGAGTCATCAAGATGTGACGACTTGCCACATTGAGGCTGGCCTGCTACGTATGTTGTAGCCGAAGTATGTTTTATCGATTTATCGATCACGATGGTGCTGGTAGTACTCACCGAAAACGAACCAAACGTACGCGTAGGCGACATCAGCTGGCTCGGTGGCTTCTCGGTATCGAATACATCGTTCACCTTTGTAGTACACACCGAAACCCATAACTGGCATGCTTGTCAACGCCAGGGCGATTAACCAGAGTAGCAGCATGCAACGTACAATCATAGGGTATGTCACCTGCTGGAGAACACACGCGTGTCACAGAGTGAATAATACAAGAGTCAGGTAATTATATATTTTCCATTTACAATATCCTAGTAGAAGATGGAAGAAGAAATTTAGGGCTAGATTATATCTTTCTACAAAGAAAGAAAGAGGAAAATTCTTAAAAACTAGATTTTTAGAAATTAATTTAATTTAATTTAATTTTGATAATTATAATCTAAACATTCGTATAAAATGATTTTAAAGTTTTGAATGAAAAACAATATATTTATCTGCTCTTCGACGCAAACTTTTCGTTAAAGAAACAAATGTGTGTTATAGTAAAGTTAGAGAAACAGAGTTTCCATTCGATTCCATTCACAGCCACGTGTATTTTCTCGACACGTACGATCGCATCGATCATTGCTCAATGACACAAAGCCAACGAACTTCCATGAATGACGCGTGGGCGCGAGAAACAGCTGAGGAATATCGATTCCAACGGACCGATTGTTACAACGAGCAATTGGCAAATTTATTAGAAGGGGAAGAAGCCTTTGCTATTTCGTAAATGAGCTTCGACATCCCCAGATAGAAATACGAGGAATTTTATGAATGAACATATACGGGGGGCTGCAAATATCTTCACTTGCCAACAAAACCTTTTTTTCAATTAGATTCTACGTCTTAATTTCATGGGGTCAAATTTTTATAATTACATAGAAATATTACTAAATTATTACTAAACTTACGAAATTTGAACACATTTGAATCCAATTTATGACAGTATAGACATTTCATAAGTGACAGTGGATGAGGAATTTTAAACAGTGGTTTAAAAAAATATTCGCACACACCTTTATTCCTCAATAGAAAATTATTATAGTTACTATGTACTATTCAACTTGGTAATAACTATATTAGAAATACAATGGAAATTTTCGTAGCCATTGGGAAATATTTTCTTTCGAACGCACAGAACTTAAAATAGTTAAACCCATGATCTGCGTCATTGTATCTTTGTTGACTTTGTCGTAAGTTTTATTTTAGATGTACAGGAAAATTTCGGAAAAAGGAATCATTGTGATATCATTGTTTACGTAGAGCTTCATCAAGTTTCGTCATCGAGCGGATGATTTCCGAGCGAAACCTTTGAAATCCAAACAAAGCAGGCAGAATGAAACCTTATCTTCTTCAGATATCGTCTTTAAGATTTGAAGCAAATTATCGGAGCTAGTTGTCTACGACGCTTTCAAAATTTATATTTTCGAAGATTCTTTAGCCATATTGCAGCAAGTAGAACTGTTTTGACGTAACGATATAGACGTCTGTTTCATAGAAATGAAATAGCGAGCAGAATGACTTGTTTTATTTGGCACAAAAGTGCAGTATATTTTGAATCTACAGAATGAAAGTTGTGGGACATTTACGATTTTTTTAGAGTACTAAATTTTTATTGAAATTGAATTGAAACCAGCACCAAGAAGTTACCCTGTCTTCATTGCGTGAGTTCAATTTTGTTTGATTGAATTCGGTTCAACCCCAACTTCTCGACCATTTCATTTTCGAACGAAACAGAAAAAGGGAAACATAAAGATTGGTGTCAGTAATTTGCAATCTAATTCAGGCATTCATAAAATAAGAAATTTCGCGAACAGTGACATTATGAATTTCTATCAGCCAATTTCAGAAATCTGAAAATTCCACTTTCTGGAATTTATCTCCAGCTAATATAAAATCTACAATAATAAATGTCAATCCAGAAATCATATAAAATCTTTATCAGAGATTTGATAATTCAACTGGAACAACCATGTATATTTTTCTCGAGTCAGCGAGAAGGATATTCTTCGTATCAGATTTATTTTTCATGTCTACGTCCGAAACAAATGTACGAATATCATTGCTGAAATGTGCTCCTTAACCTTGAGAAATGAAAGAAGGGACGAACGTTTCACCAAGAATTCCGAGTCGTTTTACTTTTGCGGAGGTGGCTAAGTGCTCTCAAAGGGAGAAAAGGTCTATTCACAAGGGAAACTAGTGGCGTTCAGCACCGCACGCGAAATAAAGAGAAACTGTAATAATTGTTCGTATCGTCTTTAATGTATCTCTGCTTTTAGCGCTACTACCTTCTAAGAAATAAGTTGCTCTTTCAAGATCACGCGACGAGTTGACGCAACGAATGATCAATTGTCTGATCAGAGTTTGGGCAATAATTATTTCGTGATTATTTTTGTAATTAATCACTGAAAGCATTTAAGTCAGTTAATAGTAATTATAATCCTGATATAAATCAATAAACATGCTTTATGATTATTTATTTGATATTCTGCAATCATCAATTGGTAATTTATAATTATTCAATGAATGATTGATTAGTATCATGATACTAAATTTTGTTAATTATAATCAAGGATGTATTAAAAGTGATTAATAATTATTGAGTTAATCGTGCTCGTTGATTACATTTGCTTTGATTATTTCAGTTATTCATTAATCAAGATTACTGGATTATTTAGTAATTATAATCATGAATCATGCATACGATTTCACGTTAGTTATAAATAACTGTTAATCATCAGTTAAATTAAATTATATTTTGCTTAACTCTATTTTTCACGTCACGTAATTTTTTCAGGAATATTTCAAAATATATAGATAAAGGTTTGTTTCCTTTGCATTATGTGTTCTTTATAATGTTTTTGTCCTTACGTCCCTTGGTTCAATGTTAACAGAATTTTTTGATTCTGTGATTTGAGTCAACCTTTCTACATAAATTATTTCAATCGTCTCTAATCCGATGATAGTATTTGAGGGTTAACGACAATAGGTTTTTTAATGGAATATACTTTTGTTACGCGTGCATTTGGAAGCAGTACCACCAAATGATCTAAAAACGTCTAGGAACCTTGAATTTGATAGACACACTGAGCGTAACTGCGCTTCTTATCAAAGGAAACGTTGTTTCACATCGGCGATCGAATAATTTCTTCCTCATATGATTCAACGCCTATGACTGTCAACTAATGATCAAGTGTTTTACAATGTTGGATTCAAGATTCGAGTTACATAGAATTCGAAAATAGATTAAAGATATTTAAAACGTGAATATTTATGACTATTATTTGTCAAATTTATTTATTTTTTTGGTCACGAAAATGATATTCATAGAGAGGAAAATATGCACACGTATAAGAGTTTGTAGAAAATTTGGACAGGCGTGAAACAAATATCATTAAAAAAAAGAAATGAATTAAATCGGGCTAAAATTTCTTCACTTAAACTTTTCCATAAAGTTCGAAAATATACTCTTAATAAACTAATGAGGTCTCAGATTAATTTGCCTTAATATACCGTGTTCGGATAAAATCGAAGAAAGCAAGATAACATTTCGTTTCTTAACGAAACAAGATAAGCGAAACATTGTCCTACTCTCTAGTTTACAACGGAAAACGAATTTTCACGGCCATGTTCCCGCGCGCCCTTAGACGACACGTTCACGTCTGATCTTCGATACAAGCGAAAATCTCTCTCACAGTCGTAAATATCCTCCGAGAAAGAAACTGTTACGAGAATCTGAGATGTTATGGGAATAAAGTTATCCAAGTCGAGCATGTTCAACGATAAATAAAGAACTTAGTGCCTTATATTTTATCTCTAGACAAATTATGAAGATAATATACTATCACAACAAGTTGGTAAATTTACGCTGAATCTTTTTTTCGAGTTTAAAATATTGAGAAGCTGCTAACATTGCTTTCTCTACAATCACTATTTTTGTCTTCTGATATCGGTGAATTAAACGTTAGCAAAATTATATTAAATACTAGCAAATTTTCACTTCCTTCGTCAGTCCAAAGTACCAAGAAGTTAACATTAGTTTCATCATTATCCATTATTATTTTCAATATTCCCTTGCAATGTTAATAAATTTTAGACAAATATTTCTCGTTTCTTCGCGAAATAATTCAGAAGGAACAACACTATCTTCACTTTTAATCTTTATTAATTGTTCCTCGAAATATTAAAAAAAAAAAAGAAAAAAACGTTTCAGAAAATATTTGCTCCATCAAGTTAAAACTCAATTCGCCCAGAATGATATTCGTAGTTTTCACTCAGGATTTTGTTCGATTTTATGTAATCAGAATACACATATTTCGTGGGAGCAAGATAGATTGGAGACGATTTCTCAATTATTGGCTCGTGATTTTCGTCGGTTACTAGAAACGAAAAACGAAACATTGGTCCCTGGTTGCTCGCGAAAGTGCATTCTCACGTCATGAATCATTTCTTCGCCGATTCATATACTTTCTTATTCGTGTATTTGTGAACACGACCATTCAACAAACTCCCAATGCAAAGATAGACTTCGCATAAAGTCACCGAGAGAGATAATTTTGCGTGTTGCTCAATCATTGATCCAGTTTAGTTTGGCGGAGATTCGTGGATTCTTTATCTTTTTTTTTTTTTTTTATCAAACTCGATGTTAAACTATCATCAGAATGTAGTTAAAATTGTGAAAATTCCAAGAATCTTAAGATTGTATTGTGAAAATGTACGTAGAAATTGCAAGATATTTATTGCAAATATACATTTTACAAGACATTAATATGAACGTTTTAAGTATAAAATGTTTTAACATTCTTGCAAAATATAGTGGCAGACAGAAGAAAGATTAAAACTATTTTATAATATTTGAGAAAAGCAAAACGAATAAATGATATATATAATCAAAGTAGTATGATATTAATAAAGTAATGTGTAATACAAAAATTACAAATATCAATTTTACACTTTCTCCGTTTCATTTGTCAAATATTGCAATTTCAAACCTGATTAATTAATTCAGTCCCATAATACGTTAATAAAAAGTTGTTATACGTATTCGAATATTTTCGCGAACAATTTGTACTGGAAATACTAAAGAGGAACTTGTCGAAGATAATAGCAATCCGTACGCGTTGAGATGATACTAATCTCAAGTTAGTTCGTCGACTT